AGTATCTATTATCATTTCTTCATGAACTTGATCTTCCATTTGAACAAATCCATTTTCATTAACACTTTCATTTAAAGGTTGTTGGTGAGACAAAATTTTCTTTTGATTAAACCATTGAATATAATTAGCAATACATAACAATACTAATTGAAGATATGTTAATGGTGAAAAGAAGAAGATTGAAATAGAAATAGTAAAAGAATAAAAAACACTAATTCCTATAAAGAAACACCATAATACATCTATTCCTAATTTAGCACGATGAATATTTAATCTATTTGAATGACAAACTGTCCACAAAAAAGTCCAAAGAATAATAATCACAATAAAATGAAGAGCATATCCATGAGTAAGAAAATGTGATCCATATACACCAATTTTAGCAAAATTTACACCACAATATATTAATATTTTTGTGTCTGATACTTCAAATGAATTATATCCAATAATAATTGGTATAAAATAAAAAATAATTGAAACTATTAAACATAAAAGTAATGTAGAACGTGAAGCATAACTATAATGTTCAAATAATGTAAATTTTTTCATTACTATAAATTTTTGTGTTAATAATCCTCCAATAATTCTTATCGAAAATAAACAAAAAGAAAGAGCAGACAGAGCAATTGCTACATCTCTCATTTTTAAATTAATAACAATTCCTTTTAAATGAAGATATTGTTTACCAAATGTAAAGTCTTTTACTATTTGATTTGAAGAGAATGAAACAGTAACAGAAATACTTTCACTCAATAAAATAGGTGATATCCATAACCTCTGGTCTTTTGAAGATAAAACAATTTTTTGATGAGACTCTTTACCATATACTTCAACTTTATCTACTTTCCAACCAATAAATATTTCTGTTTGATTACATTGTTGAACATTTTCTCCTGGACATATTGGAATAATAGGAAGTTCTCCAATAATAAAATCACCAAAATAAGCAACCTTATTTTTTAATACAATAACACGATATTTTCCATATTGTAATGTTACTAATTCTGCTTCAAAATAATGATGATGATATGCAGCCATTTCGTCCATATGATAATGTCCACAAATATGTAAAGATATAGGATTCTTTTTACCAAAATATTCTTCAATTTTCTCTCCAAGATATTTTTTATCATCAGAAATAATTCCCATTGATGGATGATGAGTAGCAACTATTTTATATGTGTTATTTCTTTCTAGAAATGATATAATTTTATTAATACTCTGCTCAGATAAATACCCTTCTGTTTCCATTGATATCATTGCATTTAAATAATTATCACATCCAATGATTAGTGCTGAGGTATTACCTTTTCTAAGTTCTAATGTACTAATATCCATTGCATTCATATGACTAAAAAGATAAGAATCAACAAGCATATGTTCGTTGTTTCTTCCATAAACTCCATCAACATCATGATTTCCTCTTAAATCAAACCAAGGAACTGAGAATTTATTAAGACATTCATGTACAGTATTGTTATATAAATCATAATCTCCTTTATGTTTTTCAGGATAAAAGCCAATTCCATTTTTCCTTCCATGACAAATATCACCTGTTACAATAACTGTGTCTGGTTGAATTAATGGTAATTGATCACAAAACTCTTTTAGGTTTGCTACTTGTGAAAGGTCTGTAAACATATTAATATGAATATCACTAATTTGAAGTAATGTGAAATATTGTTCTGTAGGACTTATAACTCTTAATGGAGCTTCTTTAGGTAAATTCACTAGAATAGAAATAAATATAAAAACAATATAAATCAAGAACGTTTGTATAGTGATAATACATTGAATAAATTCTCTATTTCTAAGATAATTCAACCAGGTATTTACCATTGATTGAAACGAAATTAGTGAGCTGAAATTTTTTAAAATTCATTTTGTTTTTTCATAAAAACTAAAAAATGTTAAACTATAAAAACTTTTTATTAAATATTTTTTAATATAGTTATATTTTGTTATTAATAACATATAATACTTCTTCTACTTATTTATAGAACTGCCATAAACACTAAAACACCAAATCCATTTTCTGCCTAATGTTAAAAAATTATTGTGTTAAATAATTTGTATAACGCCAATACAGTTTTAAATCTCTTTTTTTTTCCTTACAGAAATCCCGTAATTATAAATATAAAAATTTTTTAAAGTAGTTTTGATAAGTTATTTTGAAATAGATAGAGAATGAAATGGTTATGCATTTTTAATTCTATTTATTGATTTAGTATGAAAGCCTTTTTTAAGAGTTTTATCAAATAAGTAGAAGTTGTTAGAAAAAGATATATAAATAGAATATCGACAAGAAACGAAACCAAAATACTTCTAAACCAAAAAAAATCATAAAAAGTAACACAAAGAAGTAAATGTACAACAGTTAAAGTCTAAATATTTGAGATAGTTCAGGGTCATTACGATAAAGAGTCATTTCTTTTCCTGCATGTTTCATTCTTTCATTTAAAAGAATATTAATTTCTTGACCAACAGTCTCAAAATTATTTTGGTTTAAAACAACAAAAGATTCTTTTCTAACCTCTAAAATATTTTCCAATTTAATTGTACCACTTTTACCTTCAGTAAGTTTAGTATTAAACTCAAAACCTAATTCATTCAATAAATCCATCAAAAGATGAAGTCCATCTGTTTTTTTATTAGTTTGATATCTTCTTTTTGCAGTTTTAAGAGCAACACCATGAGAAATGTCATAACTATAATGTTCATAACATCTTATTTTAAGAAATTCTGCAAAAGAAACAACATTTTCATCACTAAAATTAACAGATTTGATTCTCATATATTGATGAGTTGTTATTGACTTCTTTGCAGGTTGTTTAAAAATAATATCAGCATAATGATTTAAAGCACCAATAAGAACAGCTTGTTGAATAGTTTGAGAATTACGTATTTCTCTTGAAGTTTTATTTTTTTTAACTTGTTTAACAGAAGATGAATTATCATATTCTGTTGAACTTTTAGTACAAACAACAGGAGTTAATTCATTTGTATTAAATTGGCATGTTGATTGCATCACTTCTTTAACGAATGTTTTCATTATGAGTTACTGAATTAAATAGTTCATGTTATTACCAATTATTTAACAAAACGTCTGGTTATTTAATTCTCATTAGAAATTTAGTTTGATTTAAAAATAGGAAATTGTAAAAATAAATCTTTAATATCTTTTCTTGATTTAAATTTTGTAAATTACATTTCGAAAAAAATACGAGATGCACCTCAACTTTTAGTAACTCCTAAAAATATTTTTATTCTTCTCGCTAATTTCTATAAATATTTATTTTTCATTTTTTAAAAAAAATTTCAATTCTTTTTTTTTGTGAATAAAGTTTTTTATTCATCTTTTTTGTTGCAAATTACCCTTAAACTTCTTCTAACTAGATTTCTTTAATCATCTTCTAACGATATTTTTTTGCGAGAATTATCTACACAATTCGAGTTTGTTCTTGAAAAGATTAAACTAACAAACAAACTCTCTTCATAAAAAATTACAAATAAACTTCAAAAATAAAATAATAGTTAAAATATTAGAGGAAGTTATTGTTTATTTTGACAGATTTTAATTACAACAGGAAGATCTTTAGACTAAGAAAAAAGAAGTGAGTTAAAAAAGTAAAATATCAACAAAAACATACTCAAGTTATAACCGACTTTGAGAAAAAAATTTATTCCGTCAAAAACTGCTCAAGAAGAAAATCTAACATGTAATAAACAACAAAAAAAATTGAAGAAGAAAAATGAAAAAGAAGAAAGATTAAACAGAAGAGAAAGAGTGAGTAGAGAGAGAAGGAATGGATAAAGGAAGACAAGAAGAAGAAAGAGAGATAGAAGAAGTAGAAGAAGGATGGTCAAAGAGATGAGAAAGAAGAGGATGAGTAGGATTAAGAGAGACGGATTGATGGAATTTTAAGTTGTCAATGATAGAGTGGTAAATAAGATTACCAATATGTTTAATGTCATCAGATGATAAAAGTCTACCATTTTGTAAATGAATAAAACGGATAGTTTCAGCACGAATAGCACCATTTTTACCATTTGTGATATACGTATTAAAATTGATACCTAAAAGAAATAAAATATCCATTAAAAAATGAAGTGATTCTATAATTTTATTTTTATGAAAACGTCTTAAAGCTGTTTTGATATTAAGTCCATGTTTTATTTCATAGAATTTGATGTCTTCACATTTAGTTGTAATTAAATCATTACAATAAATAGGATCTTCTCCATATATTTGAATTTTATTAATAAGAAGAAATGGTAATATTTCTTTATCTGTTTTTTTCCCACGAATACTAATATTAATTGTTCCATAAAGTGCAATAATTCCAATAAGTATGCTTTCTTGATAAACTTGATAATTCTTAAATTCAATATATGGTAATTTCTTTCCAGACATTAATTCAATTTATCATTCCATTTTTTAAAGTCTTCTTTTTTTCTTTTTCTTTTCAATCTTCACATTTCTTTCTTTTTTTAATCTTCACATTTCATCAATCAAAGAAATAAT